TTGGGTTGAAATTTTAAGGTTTGGTGTCTTTGGGTGATGATTTGAGATTGTGTGCTAAATTTAGGGTTTAGGATTTTAAGGTTTGGGATTTTGGATTTTAAGGTTTTGGGCTTAAGTTTTAAGGGTTTTAGGGTTTAGGGTTCTAATTTTAGGATTTGAAGTTTCGGGTTCAAAGAGTTTAGGGTTTTGTTTTTAGGGTTTAAGGTTTTGTTTTTAGGGTTTTAGATTTTAGGGTTTATGATTTTGATTTTTGGAATTTCAAACTTTGGGTTTAGGTTTTGAAGGTTTTGGGGTTTGGATTTTAGGGTTTAGATTTTTTTTAATTTTTAAAAAATACGAACATTTCTAAAAATCTCCAATATCTAGACGGACTTTCAGAACAAGTTTGATTTTTATGATTTTAAAAAATTAATTAAAAATTTTCATATATTTTCTTTTTATAATAACTTGTTATTAATAAAATTACTAATTTATTTAAGATTGTTATTTTTTTTATAATAATAATTTTTCAACATTTAAGCGAAATTATCATCATTTAAAACACGATTAAGTTCCCTCCAACATCTAGGAAAATTTTTTTTCTTATTACTAATTTATTTTATAATCATTTTATAATTTTCTATTTAACATTTAGGTTATTATCATTCAAGAAAAATATACCAAAAAATTGAAATCATTTTTTTATTATTATTGTTGTTATTATCAATTATTATTATAAAATAAAAATATTTATTTTAACAAATCTAGAGGTATTAAATATGCTTAAATAACAAAAATAAAACCAAAATAATATAAATACTATATATAAAAAATCAAAAAAATAAAAATAAAAAAATTACTTGAACTGGATTGGTCAGCGGTCCAGTCAACATCAATTCGGGTGGTTCAATGGTTCAGTCAACTATTCTAGCTTTTTGGCGGTTTGATAAATAGTTCAGGCGATTTAATCAACGATTCAGGTAGTTCGATTAATGGTTTAGTTGAACCAATTCAAAGTTGCCTGAATGATGGGTCGCCAGGTCAGATGCGTGGATCTCGGATTGAGTCACGGGCACGCGCGGATCCTTCCCTTCTCCAAAACGACATCGTTTTGGGCATTAATCTTTTATATAAAACCAATTTTTTTTACTTCATTTCAAACCCCTTTTTTTTTTAAAAAAAATATCTTATCAGCCAAAAAAATCCTTTAAAGCATTGTTGGAGTCCGGTGCCGTGCCGCCGTGCCACCATGCCAGCCGTCGTCTGAGGTCACTACAGGCGGTGGTTGAAAAATGCCAAAAAACCTTTGAAAATTCCCCTTAACACGCTTTTTCTAGATTCAATTTCTTTTTTATAAAAAACATCGATCTTCTTCTTTTTTAAAAAGAAAAAACTGAAAATTGATGATTTTTTTTCTGTGGGTAACTTAGTGCTAAGGGTTCATCACCTAAGGTGAAGATTGTGTTTTTCTTTTTTTGGTTTTTTTTTATTGTGTTATGTGTATGGGATTAGGATTTCTGGATGCAAGAAACTAGGGCTTCTGGGTGGAGGGGAACGAGGCTTTCTGGGTTTGTGTGTTGGAGTTTCTGAGTATAAGAGAGACTAAGACTTTTGGGCGTGTGAATTTGGGGTTTTTGGTGTGTTTGAACTTGGTGTTTCTGGGCATCCAAGTCTGTGTCCAAGAAAGCTAAAAAGGAAGAAAGCTAAAAGGGGAGGAAGCTAGGGTTTTAAGAAGATGGGTGTCTGAGTTTGTGGTGGTTGTAGGATGGCTGTAGGTATGGTTAGGGGTTGCAGGGAATGGCTGCAGTGCTCTGGCTAAGGTATGCTATAGGGGTGGTTATAGGGATGGTTGGTGCCAGTGCACAACACCCAGGCATCAGCCCCCTACATTTTGCTTTTTTTTGGTATTTTTTATTTTTTTGTTGTTCTCTTTTTTTTTTCAATATTAAACAATTATTAATATTTTATTATTAATATTTTTCTATTATAATTATTAATAATTTTAACATTAATAAACAAAAACTAAAAACATGATTTAAAGCCTCCATAGATCCAGACAAAATTCGGTGTATACAATATATATATATATATAAATAGTTTTTGTTAATAAATTATATGTTTTATTACCTAATCAAACTTTTAACATTTTTTTAATAATTATTGATTTTTAATAATGAGACAAGTTATAATCCATTAATTATTATTGATGATACATTAAATAAAATATAAACTTCATAATATCTTTACTAAAGTATTATTATAGAGCTCTTTTACTTTAGCTAATTCTTGTCTAACTTAAAGTTTGGGTTATACATCTTATTTATAAAACTTTTAGTTTGGTTTTTACTTGTTCTAATTTTGACTTCATTCATAAACTCATATAAACAATAAATTCACTCTCAGCTGTCATTAACTATATTTACGTCCAAGTTTTTATATATGTATGTGGTGATTTATAAAATATACATACATTTAGATAATGTTTGGTATCTTTTGTAAGATTATCATGGTGGTAATATAATTATTGGGATAATTTTATTACCAAGGTTATCTTAACACTCTATAATAAGTCATTTTATTTGATTAACTATGATTAATTCTTGGGAATTAAAAATTAATGTGTTTGGTATTACTAAAAATCAAATATTATTTTGTTTAAAAATACGAAAATAACTATACATATTATAATAATTCCATAAATTAATAACTTTAAGGTTGTTTAAAGATAATAATTTGTAAAATATTAATAATATTTATTTATTATATAAAAAATATAATTAAATTATTAAATTAAAAATATATTTATTGATAGGTAAATTTATTTTTATAATATAAATTATGTAAAAATTTTGAATTAGAAAATAAAACCAATCTATAAAATTCATAACAAAAGAAAATTAAAAATTATATTATATAAATATTAAAAAATTATACAAATTATTTTGAATTTGTTATAATGAATATTAGTTTAAAAATATAAAATTTATAATATAAAATAATTATAATCTTAAGATGCAGCAAGTTTTTAATTATATATTAATGAGTAAAATTGATTATTGTTAATTTTATATATCAGTTCACTTCAGTAATAAAAACTTATCACTCTTTTGCATGAAAATTAAATTACTCTCCAAAACAATAATTTGATCACTATCAGTGATTTAAAATTATCATCATCTAGGATCACAGAGTACTAACTAATCACAGCAATTTAATCATTATAAATGCACTTTTATAAATGATTTTTATAATGATTACCCTGTACTAAACACTACCTTATTGAAAAAAATTATAAATGCATTTTCTTATAATTAGTTTGAATTAAGCCCCAAGGATAAGAAAACAGAACATAAATGCTAAGAAATGCAAGTTTTACGTGTAATTTGTTAGTAGAATTCTAAATTTTTAGTTCAAGTAATTAAGGACTAATCCTTAATTAATACTCTCATGATATAAAAAATTATTAGGATATATATTTTTGCTAAATGAAATTTATTATCTAGAGAAATAGTAATATTAATCCTCCTACATATTTGGAGAGAACTTTGCTTGGCGAAAGTGCAAATAGTAATACTAGTACTAATAGCGCATGGAGAATAAGCCTTGGAGAATTCCCTTGACATCTAATATTAATTATATAAGATAAAATTAATTACTGTCAAACAATAAATTATCTCTTATAAATTATTTTCTTCTCTAAATCATTAATATTTACCATTTCATCATTCAAAAAAAAATTTTCTTGGTTGACAAAAGAATAATAATAGTTTCACTCCCAACCAAAATCACCATTCATCTCTTTTCGTCTCTTTTCTAGTTTTCTTTTCTCTTGAATTATTCATGGATCTGAAAGAGTAATTTGATTTGAACCTGAAGTTTACTTCAATTTATTTGTGTAATCATTTTTAAGTAATAGTAGTTAGTATTTTTGTGATTCAAATTCAACACGTGCATCCTCCTTTTTTTATCTCCAAATTATTACTTCTTTTTTTAAAAAAAATATTTTGATTTACTTGTTTAAGTGTTGTTTATTGATTTCTTTAACAATTTGTTAATATAATTACTTTTTTTTTTTAAATTATGTCAGTTGTGAAACTATATTTATTCATTCAGTTTTTAATTGCACATAGTCATATCTAATATTCACCATATTTCGGAAAAATAGATTAACCTTTAAAACTATGCTTGAAAATTTATGAACGGCAACGGCCAATATGTAGGATATCCGTTAATTTTCAAATACTAATTTTTGAATCCTTTTATTTATCATGAATTTTATCATGAACTCGATACATATCTTAATATTTTTTATTTTCACTATCCAAACTCTACCCATATTATATAAAGAATGGTTAACTGTCCGAACCCACAAAGTTTGACGTATAAACTCAAATTTAAAATAGATTTTAATGCATATTATTAAAAAAAATTAATTAATAAATGAAGGTTAACTCATAAAAATAAATTAAAGTTAAAAATCATAATAGAACACATAAGATATTAATTTAGTTAAGCATTGCATTAATATTAATAAATAATTTATAAATAAAAAATATATAATAAAAAATTATTATTTTTAATCAAATTTGGTTAGTGGATACCTTAAGAGCACTAATCGAATCCATATTCGTAACGGTTATGTAATTTTACTATCTAAACATGATTATAGGATATTCTAATCCTATTTAATCAGATTAAGTAATCCAAAATGTCCGTTTATAGGATATCATTGCCGTCCCTACTTAGAATTTGACTTTTTGGTGGTAGAAAATGTGTAATACAAAAAGGATATAATGATGAGATCTTCTTCTATGTATGTAAAGTTAGTTTCTGTATGCTCATTTGAGAAAGGCCCAATTTAATGTGGCATGCAACTTGAGAACCTTCCGGTTTCTAAGAGGATAATTAATTGTGTAGGAAAAGTTAAATGCTTTCACAAAGGCGCAGCCGATAGTTTGTTGCACCAAAAAATTAAAAGAAAAAGCCAAAATGGTGTTTCCTTCATTTTATTGCCTTTCTTCATTGCTAGCTTACTACTATATATATTACATCGAATAGGATAAGTAGTGAAAGGAGATTGGGGTTAAACAAAAGGAGCTGAACCAATGGGCAGAAAACCATGCTGTTTCAAAGAGGGAGTTAATAGAGGAGCATGGTCTTTGCAGGAAGATAAAATCTTGACCAACTACATTGAACTCCATGGTGAAGGCAAATGGAGATCCCTTCCTCAAAAAGCCTGTACATATGCAAACGCTCATCTTAATCAATTTCTTTTTCTTTGCTCTTCTTCATAGCATTTTGATTTACAGTAATTTTCTTGCATCAATTGGCTTTTCTTTTTGGTTAAAAGGTTTGAACAGATGTGGGAAGAGTTGCCGGCTACGATGGATGAATTATTTGAGGCAAGGTATTAAGAGAGGCAATATTTCTCCTGAAGAGGAGGATCTTATCGTTAGACTTCATCGTCTCCTTGGTAACAGGTAACTTCTTCTTGTCTCTTGGGACCGGATTGAACGAGAAGCGATTAAATTGCAAAAAGAAAATGTCAAATTCTAACATAGGGGAACTTCTGATTTTTCTCAAAGAAAAAGGTAGAAATGATAATGATATAAATTTAAGAAAGCATGCATTAAAACACGTTTCAAGGAGTAATTACACTGCCTTTCAAGAATAGAATGCCAAATTAACTAACCTATATTAATTATAAATAATCCTATTTCACTTCGATTAAGAAAAAATAGTTTGTGTAATTGTTAGATATATAATAAATGCTATGAGCGATGTTAGTTTAATATATAATATTGTAACGCCTTAATCTCATATTGAAATGCTTTAAAGATTTATTATGATATAAATGTAAAAGCTTAAATCCAAATCTGTGAGACATTTTTTATGGGATAAAATTGTAAGGTCTTCGAGTTAAAGTGAATAATATTTCACAGGTTAGGTGCGAGTCTCCACAAATGATATCAGAGTGATCACTAGTCGGATAAGAGCTAAATACTATATGGTGGGAGCTACCTCTAAAATCTCACTATTTTGTATTATTCTATGATCTGTATATGCTTTGTGTTGGACTTGTCCAACGTTTGGTGCAATTTGGTAGATCTGTATGCTTTGTATTAGGCTTGATGAGGACATTAAGTTTTAATGGAGAAATTTATAATGCCTTAATCTCACATCAGATGCTTTAAAGATCTATTATGATATATATATATATATATATATAGACTTAAATTCAAATTTATAAAATATTTTTTGTGAGATAAAATCGTAAGATTTTCAGATCAAAATAAATAATATCTCATAAATCGGATGTGGATTGTCACAAATATACCTTATAATAATACTTTAGTTGATGTTCAATGGCCAAAAGAGGGATGGTTGAGGTGTAGCAGTGAATAAAAATGATCATCCTCATCCTTTTCAACTTATCCAATAAATGCCTAGCTAGCTCTATTAACTACTATACTTGATTATAACTATATAGCCCCTTGACCAACTAACCGATGAGAATTGTGAGAAACCGTTTGGATTGGTGAAGTGATCAAGATTTTCCTTGACTTAATAATGTAGGTGGTCTTTGATAGCCGGACGGCTTCCGGGGAGAACAGACAACGAGATCAAGAACTATTGGAACTCTGTACTATCAAAAAAGGTGAATGGCGATGTATCAAAGCGATCAAATAAGCAATTATATGAATGTGTAAGCAAGGAGTCTGTAGAAAATTATAGATCGGGTATTACTACTAATGTGATTGCACCTAAGGCCACTCGTTGTACAAAGATGTTACTCTCACTTGACAAAGGAAAACATTTGATGAACGACCAATGCCATCCTCCCGCTTCAACCATAGTGGATGATGATGAATTGAAGTTGGAATCTCATAATGAGGTTCATGAAATGCCTTATGTAGAGGATGAACCTTTGATTGACAATGTTCTAACTATGCCTAATGCTTTTGACTACTTAGATTTCTCACAAACAAGGATAAACGACATATTTGAGAAGAGTAACATGCTTGAAACTGATCTTGCACCCATGTTTGAAATGGAGTTCGAGAACCTGGCCTCTTTGCTTGGATTGGAAGATGAATGGAGAGATGTGTAGAAGTCAATCGGATGATCAATGAGTCTTTATTGTAACTATATCGTTAATATCACTTAATTAACCTTACTTAGGTTTCCTTTATTTCGCAAAAATTAATTTTCAATTTTTTTTTTTATTTTTTGCAAATCTAATTTAGTGAAACAAATGTAACCTTATTACTTAGTTACATTCATGCAGCTTGATTTCTTCTTTATGTTAACCCTTTCTGCTTTGATTAGTTTACGGAGAGGTAGAGATAAATTAAATTTCTTATACAACATAATTTCTCCTTTTTAAATCATCTTTGTTTTTTCATCCATATATAGAGTAAGTGATGAAATCTAGTACTTCATATAATATGGCTTGGGTTTGAAAATTAATGTGGGCCCAAATGTTAGAAAGCCATTTTAAAGGATCGAGCTTAACAAATGTCAGGAGTTCTAAAATATAGGAAAGAATCTCGGCGAGGTCCACCCATGAACTGATCATTAACAACCAATGAAGTCCCTAAAGTCGACCCATTTAATGGGAAACAAAATGCCCACAAATCAAAGTTTTTTTGTTTTGACATCGTGGTAAATTACAAACGTGAATCAGGCACTGCGAGCCCAGAAGACAGTAAAAGCCCACAACTTTAGTGACTAATCAAAATCAATAAATTAGGGAAATGTTGGGGTTTAAATTTTAACCCTTTTTTTTTTTCTCCAAATAAAATATTGACATGTTCCGACGCCAAGTCCAATTCTAACTCAATAATGGAGAGAATTCAAAAGTCGGACAAGCTTTCCATGGAGGCATAAGGAATATTTTATTTATTATTGTTTGATTAATGGTATTATTGTCTGTTAAGCTTTCCATGTATTTTCCACAATCCCCCCTCCCACCCGGTTGGCTAGAAATCAATATCACAAAATAAGTAGGCTACAAAATCCATATCACAAAATAAGCTTTCCACCAATATCAAACAATGAAAGTTGACATTTATTCATTTTATTTCAGCTGTTTCAATCAAGCAGGCTAATAGTAAACTTGAGCAAATTCCAAGTAGTGACGAGTTGGTAACTCCAATCAACGCTCAAGTATATTTCTCTGCAATGTCTTGAAGGCAAGAGCAAAGCTCGTACGGTTTGGAAAACATGACCATGTGATCAGAGTCCGAAATGACCTTTACCTCATCTGGTGGATTGTTTCCAATCATCCACCTCTGGTAGTCTTCTTTCATGACATTGTCTTTGTTGCAAACAATGTACACTCGACGCACTGATCCATATTTCTCCTTGGTGACTGCTGTAGCTTTCATTGATTCTTCATCTTTATAGACAACATCATGTCTGGCTAAAGTTAGTGCAAGCGTTAAATCCTGCCCCATTCCATTTGTATACAAAGGAAGAAACATCAGCTCGTTTTTCAAAGACAATGGAAAACTGACTTCAATAGACACTGTTAATATCCAAATGATAAAGGCTAGTGAAAAACTCTTGCCTCGGGTGGGGATAGCTGGTATAACTTGGAGGCCATGAAATTCGGCCCAAGGAGTATTGAGGTTGCAGGCTCATCCATCCCATTGAGGAACGCAAAATGCGTGTCCATTAACTTGTCGGAATCCATTCTTTCAATCAACTGTCAGAGAAAAGACCAGGAATTAAAGTTAAGAAGTAGGCCCAATGCGTAGCAAGAATTGCAGCAGCAAACTGTTCTTCTCTTTTTTTGATCCAAAAGTGAAGCACCAGTACAGAATCAAGAGAGAAGTTTGATTGTAAGTTTATAACTCAACTTCCAGTATTAACATCAAAGCTACGATTTTTGAGTGCATAGGTCGAGGAGGTTCAAGAAATAACTATATCGGTTTTTTTCCTTGTTTTGGATTTTTTTTTTTTTTTTGAACACTGGAAGCATTGGAAGAACCTAGTGAAATAAGTGTTGCTGAGAATAGGGTTCGTGCTTATCCATCCCCCACACAAATCGTCTTCTAGCTTGGGCTAAGGAGGGATGGCGTGGGGGCTGGAGAGTGGGAGGAGAAGCATGTACCTTTTGAGATAGAGTTTCAGAAGTAAGTTCTGGACCGGGCATAAAGGCCGTGGCAAATACTGCGACAGCAACCTTTTCTGGAAATCTTTCCATGGCAGCTGATATGCAATACCCACCCTTGCTGTGGCCCACTAGAATCACCCTCTCCTCTGGTGGAAGAGACGCCATGAATTCTGTCAACGGTTCAAAATAATCAGAAATAGAATGAATCTCATGAACTTGCTTTGGATGGATCCCAGAAGCAGCCATGTCCAGTGCTGTAACCTGGTGGCCCATTGATTCCAGCTGAGTTGCCACCTTATACCAACACCATGCTCCATGACAGGCTCCATGTACTAGCACAAAATGCCTCTCTTGCTTCACCATCTCTTCGTATTCCTATTCTTCCTTACCTTTGGTTCAGTCTCTTGACTATTAACTAAATTCTTTTGCTTGCGATTGTAGGCTTATAATAAGTATGATCCTCAAGTCCATTGAAGTCCATCATCTATAGATTCCCTTTCCTCTAATAATAGCATTAATCTATTTCATCTTTTGGTTAAGACACTTGTCACTTGCAGAGATAACACAAAAATTTCTTTCTTTTTTATTTTAAGATTATCATCGTTGAAATTAAAATTCAATACTCTACTATCAGATGCACTTAAACAAAATCACCTCATTCTATTAAAATGGCTAAGAAGCAAAAGTGTAATACCAATTATGATGCAAGTAATTAAAACCATCGATCCTCATTGTCCCATTCCAAGTACGAAGTCGGCAGGATAAAAGCCAAGAATACAACATCAAAAGTACTAAGCCGGCAGGATAAAAGCTAAGAATACAACATCACAAGTACTAAGCCGGAAGAATAAAAGCCAAGAATAAAACATCACAGAGTCGGCAACTGAACGTCAAAACCAATAATAAAGCTTATAACATCTTAAAGTTTGATATTTACTAAAAAGCCAAGAATAACACATCACAGAGTCCGCAACTGAACGTCAAAACCAATAATAAAGCTTATAACAGCTTAAAGTTTGATATTTACTGCTACTTTTATTCTAGGTGTTTCACTTTGACCATGCATCAAGCAGGCTAATAGTAGACTCGAGCAAATTTCCTACACACCAGGCATCTCTAATCATATTTCACTGCACTTTCTTCAAGCCAAGAGCAGAGCTCCCGGGGTTTAGGAAGCATAGCCATGTGATCGTAGTCCGAAATCAGCATCACCTCGTCTGGTGGATTGTTTTCGATCATCCACCTTTGGAAGTCTTCGTCTGTGACCTTGTCTTTGTTACACACTATGTACACTCGGCGCACTGAGCCACATCTCTCCCTGGCCAGTGCAGTGTCTTCAATTGATGCTGCATCGTTCTGATTAGCAAAAGGCCTGGCTAACATTATTGCTAGTGTTAAATCCTGCCCCAATTTATAGTGTATAAATGAAGAAATATCAGCTCTCCTCTCGAAGGCAAGGAAACTATATCGGAATAATGTACCTCAGCAAAACGATAAATGCTGTAGAGAACTCTTACCGCGGGAGGGGATAGGTAGCATATCTTGGATGACATAAAATTGGGCCCAAAGAGTAAGAGGTTGACGGCTTATGAGGCCCATTATTAAATGCAAACTGAGTCCATAAAGGATCCCAATCTTTTATGAACTGTTCATGAAAAAAGGTGCTAAGAATTAGGCTGACAAAATAACAGCTGTAGACTTGTAGTCCAAATTCAGAACGCACGACAAAACGGAATGTGTGTGAGCCAAGTTGCCTTATTCATGAAATCAGTAACTAGTATTCTGATCATCAGATCCCACCATTTGGTCTTTTTTTGCTCCTTTCCCCGGTTGCAATGACTAGGGGTGGTTTACTTTCAAAGGAAATCAGAGGTCAGGGACCACAAAAAAGAAAAGTTTGGCTAAACTCAATTCAAGATTGAACTGAAGGCTACAAATATATGAGAGCCTAAGTCAAGGATCGGCTAATCCATTAATCCCATTTCGGAATGCTGGCAAAGAAAATACTCATACAAGTCTTCATATTTTCTTGGTTCCATAGCACCAAGTGAAACAATTGTAGATCATCCTTCTCATACATACCAGATCTTCTCCTCTGATCTCAAGCTGTAGATTTGCATCGCATACTGCAATCAGATGCAGCAGGTGTAGAATTATAGCCCACCTTTGCTCATTTATAGAGTCCGAATCTCAACGCAATATTACAGGATAAACATCAAAACCGAATTTTATCCCTAAAAACTTATGTGACTCGCTTGATCACCAAGGACCGACCTTTCACTTGGGTGTAAATTGAAGTGGAAAGAATGCTAAATAACGAAGGGTAAAAGTAGTTATGCATGCCCATGTCTCTCTGAGAGAGAGAGAGACAGAGAGAGAATAGCAAATACCTCTTGACTCAAAGAAATGTAACTGAGTTTAGGTCCTGGCATACTAGCGGGGCAAAAACTGCGACAGAAACTTTCTCAGGGAATCTTTCCATGGCAACAGAAATGGTTATTCCACCCACGCCGTGGCCAACGGGAGAGACTCCATGAATTTCATCAATGGTTTGGAGTAGTTTGAAATCGATTGAAGCTCATGCACTTGCTTTGTGTTAAATTGGTGTTATTCTACATTTATTAAATATCTAATTTTTTGTAGTATTACATTCAGGTTGGACCACTCCACTAACTGTTAATTGATTTTAAGTTGAATGCTTAATATAGTATCAGAGTTAGGATTTTTTTTTGTTACCCTTTCTAAATCTATCATGTGATAAACTTCTTCCATCTCTACCTACATGTGATAAGAGCCTATTAAAGTGGTGTTATCCCACATCTAATAAATATTTCATTTTTTATAATCTTATATTTATGTTGGATCTGTTCATTTATTGGTAATTGGTTTTAAGTTGAATGCTTAACACTTTGAATGGACCCTAAAAACAGCCAAGTTGAAAGCTGTAACTTTATGGCCCACTAATTTCAATAAAGTTAACACCTTATACTAGTACCATGCTCCATGATAGGCTCAATGAACAAGCACAAAATGACTTTTCCCTTCTTCGTTTGTTGCCCTTCCTACCATTTCTTTCCTTTGATCTAGTTTATGTGCTATAAAAATCTTATTTGGCCATACCAAGTCATTTCACACAATCACATTCATAACTTATACCAGCACCATGCTCCATGCTCCATGACATGTTCAATGGACAAGCACAAAATGACTTTTTTCCTTCTCTATTTGTTGTCCTTCCTACCATTTCTTTCCTTTGATCTAGTTTATGTTATAAAAATCTTATTTGGTCATATTAGGTCATTTCACATAGTCACATTCAGGTTCCATACCTTTAATATAAACCATCAACTAACCCTACCAATAAGGAAAGCTGCACCTTTTGTATTAGGTGTGGCAATTGAGGTTTCTAATGTCCCACTCCCATAAGCCATAGCTTTGTCAAGACTTTGAAAATGAATATAGCTACTGTAAGATAAATTCACATGCAAAACATATACAAGCATAATCATATATACTTGTTAAACAGAAGCAAAAACGAAAATCCGACTTGAATTACTAGTTGTTGAACAATATCACAATACAAAAATTGTTCGATTCAACAACGTAAGTCCTTCATACCAAATGCAAGAATTCCTCACTGAGAGTTGTTCAAATAGCTACTTGACTCCCTCTCATATTTTTTTCTTCTCGTAAGAGACTTTTCTCTTTTCTTTAAATTGTATATATTAATGGCTGAATGTTTGTTAAAAGCCAAATAGCTTTCTTGTTCAAACACCAAGAGGTAAATAGTATTTCTTTTTTTTTTACTTTTGTAAATGACTCATGGTAGTCATTCAAAGAAAAAACTGCCCAAGGTAGTTGGTTTATTAATGTGGGATATGCCCACTCATTTTGTGCGGGTCACATCCCGACATCTCCCATTCACATAAAATGGGTTCCAAACTTTCATGATCTTAAGATGTTTTCTTTATTCTTTGCATCGAGTTCATGCAAGAAAATAAGCCGTGCAACTAGCATACTTCGAGAGTTCAGGTGCTATACAACTATTAGGTACATATAGCAACTTATAATCAGATCTAATCACTTATACAACTATGAGGTATGTATAATAGCTCTCAAGTATGAGTAGAGTAAGTATGCAACACCCTAGACTCATTTAGTCACATTTTGTTAGCTCAAAGATTTGAAATAAACCAAGAGGGGGTAAATTGGTTTTAATGAAGTTTTTAAAGACAATATTCAATAAGCATAAATTTTGTCAAACAATTAAACACAATAATTGAAAATAAATAAGAGAGAGGGATAGAGAATATAACACAACAATTTATAAAGGTTCGATCTTTCCTTAGGCACCTATGTCCTCTCCCTTACCTCTCTTGCCAAAGAGTTCAATCCACTATATGTGTTGAAGATTACAATCAAGCTTCTCAAAGCTTTACAAACTCAACACTACACATTTTTAAGGGTTATCATCCCCCTTAAGCTTACAAACTCACAATACAAAAATTTGAAAGTGTTTTGCAAGCTCTAAGAACCTCACAAAGGTTGGGTGTTTGCTAATTTGAAGTACACAGTAGTATAGACAAGAAAATAGAGAGAAACTAATATAAATTTTATACTTTTCAGACTTAGAATAGCTTTAAATGCTTGAGCAAATTGGTAGGTGAATGGCAATAAGTTTCCTTGGCACTTGTTACCCTTGGTCTATAGTGGAATGCTTGATTTATAGGTAAAAAGTAGTTGAGAGCCATTGGATAGCATTTAATGCTTCAAACCTGTAAAAATTTCAGATAAAAAATAGTCGTTGGGAGTTTCTAACCTTCAGGGGATTGATCCTTTGTCTTAGGGGATCGATTGGTTCATATTAGAGAAGGCTCGATTTTGTACCTAAATTGCCTTACCCGACGATCCCTTATGTGGGGGGATCGATCCTTTTTCTGAGTTTTTAAACTTATGGAGCATTCTGTTTGAGCAACTGATCGATCCCTTTAAAAAGGGATCGATCTTTTGCCTTAGGTGATCAATCCTTTATGTGAGGGGATTGATCTCTTTTCTAAAAAAAGTACGATGAAAACTTTCTGTATGAAAAAATGATCGATCCCTTGAATGAAGGGATCGATCTAGTCATTTTGAAACCCCAACTGATCGATCCATATACACTGCCTCAACGAAATACATTCACTTTGCACAACCAGAACAGGTTCAATTCAAAGATTTCTTCCCCTTAACTTGAATGTTACAAAAAATAATAATAATAATAAAAAGATTATAACTAAATTCTGATTTTTAGTATATTGCCACATATTTACTTGCTGTAGTTCAAGGATCGTCAAAAATACTTGTCTAATTTATATCACACATTTTGAGAAACAAATATGGGAGTTAAAAGAAAACTTATAGAGAGCTGAGTTACCTGACTAGGCCTTTCATTCCTCAAAATGTAATCATCCAATTATTTAAAGCAGAGTTCCTGAAATCTTGTTAGGTTGTGAGGGAAACAAGAAACAAAGAAATATTCAGATATAAAATTTTCATTTTCTTTTTATTATTGTGACGCCATATGGTAAATTATGTATTCTCAGATCCAACACCTTAGTTACATGCCTTTATAAAAATATGAATAGCCTTAAAGCATTGAGTAAAGAAAAACAATCATAAAAGAAAAATGAATCACCGTTTCAGAAGCACTTGTGCATTATATGGAAACAAGTTCTTCAGGTGAAAGTTCTCTTCAGATTTTTTTCAGAGAAAGCAAACAATCTTTGGCTTGCTCATATGCCTACGTACAAAGGAATAATTCATAGGTCCAGATGATGGCTCTGTCTTAAAATTGGAGCTTTTCGAAGACATTTTTTTTTCTCTTGCTAGATAATTGGTTTTTAACTTCCCCATACACTGAAAATTCTGTAAACGTTTCCCACGAATCACATACCATGCGCAAGCACTTACAAACCAAAAAGGCCACACCACAAAAGAAAAGCATGTCAAAGTTTAAGGAGAAGCAAATAAGAAGTGAAAAACAGAGCTCTCCTATCACACCACCTTGTAAGGCTAAGTTTAAGGAGGAGCATCCAACAGATGAAAACAAAAATTCATACCTTAAAAGATACTCTGCACAACTAATTCCAGTGTCTTTCGAGATAAGATGATCAAGAAGCACTTAATGGTCATAGTGCAGCTGCAGATGGTGAAGAGAAACAAATAACATCTTCAATTATATATGACCTACTCCAAATAAAAGAAATGAAATGCATTTCTCTTGTTATATTTTTTTTTTCTCTTCTTCTGCTGGACAGGGAAAAAAAGGGAGCTTGGTGTGCTTATAGCATGATTAGTGTTGGGAATAGTAACTCAAATCCCATAATAGATTTATTTCAAATTGGCTAGATATTACTTGATGGACAAAAAGACTTGCACAAGAAAAATTTTAAGAGAAAAAATATTCTTAATTGACAAGTTTGACTTGCAAAATAAGAATTTTAAAAGGAAATTCTTAATAGGCAAGTTTATATGCTTATAAATGGTAAAGTCTTTATAGGATTAGATATGAAAAAAAGATGTAAAAGAGTTATAGAATTTTATGGGATAGACACCCCATAAGACTACTAGAGATTTACGTCTTATGGGTGTATATGTTGGAATGCTTGAGTGAACTAAAAGAGACTGAGAGAGTCCACATTGATATGGATGCATGAGTATATATGGGTGTTTATGTTTGCTTGAGTTGAGAATACTCTATAAAACTAAAAGAGATTGAGAGAGTCTATGAGTATTAATTGATGTGTCTGATATAATTATATGTTTATAATTCTCTACAACTAGTGAATCTTTTTTTCATCTGTGGGCATAGGTCGATTGAATCAAACCACATTAAATTGTTATCTCTTGTGTGATTGATCGATTATTTGAATTCGCTTTGTCACACCCCGAAATCAAGACGCAATACGACCATATTACCTTGAAGTAAACCTCAAAGTAATACAAAGCCTTCTTTCTTAATCATTCCAAAATTCTTCAATAAACTAATATAGCTTGCCAAGTAAAATCCATATCTTTAATCCAACTAATAATATATCTCTATATATCTAAATATAAAACATATAAAATACAAAACTGTTTCATAAGATCTTGTCTCCGACAACTAAGTAATCTTTCCCATTTGATATTCTAGCTTTTCACAAAACTAAGTAAACTTATCACTTACTTATCTATAAAGAAAAAGTAAAAGAGGAATGAGCAAACCATAACTTAATAAGTATAGGCTCATACATCTTATCGGATCAATCATCACTTTCATGCGTACTTTATAGATCATTTTCAAAAATATTTATCAACTCATAATGTCAAAAATAATTCAAAAATCAACATTCTATTAAGCATTCATAGATCATAAATCAATATCACAACATGTCACCAAATCATGGATCAATTTATAAAAATCATTCATCACAAATCATCATTATCATTCGTTTATTGTTAGCTACGGTCACTGCTATAACCCGTAACATTGACCGTATCGACAATTTCATCCTCATAATCATTGCTAACTATTATAACCCGCTAGCCAGGACCTTATGCTAACTACTATAACCTGTTAGCAGGGCCGTATAACCATGTCTATGCTAACTACTATAACTTGTTAGCCAGAGCCGTAAAACTAGTTCTGGTGTTGATAATCCCACTTCCAAGAGATATAAAAATGTAACTATCATAAAATCGTTTCTTAAGCATAAATCATTTTCTCATTTCATTTATAAGCATGATCCATCATTTATATAGAAAAACACAAAATAATCATATGTTTAATCCTATTTTCATACATCAGAAATAATGAAATAAAATATCCATTCATTTAGAAACATATATATACATAGATTTAAAGACAAGCAAAGTGTATGAGATTCTACTTATCTCTTTTCGATTTCACCACTTAATTTTTTCCTTAAAATAATTAATAGCCTATTCAAATAATTTCAACATAATAGTAATTAATCAACCCATTTAAGACCACCTATACCAAAACAATTAAGTTAAACAAGAAATAACTCAAGTAACTAATTCTGACAGCCTACGCTACTTTCACTAAAATGACCATATCACAAGATATCCAATTCGGAAATAAAATCTTTTTAATGTGTTAGAAACTAAACTCGATAAGCTTTCTAATCATATATGGCTCATTTCGTGATTCCTTGTGAATTAATTATAACCATTTTTACAATCCACATCATATGTTGCTGCCAGACAACCTGTATATCTTCTCATAAAAAATATGTATTTATTCATAAGAAACTCCAAATTCAATTTCGCTTGTTTTGTTGGAAAGTAGACTCAATAAGCTTTCCAAACATATATAGCTTAATCTATAAATCCTTGTATAAAAATTAAGACAATTTTCGAAATTCAACCCTGATGCTGCTACCTTACAGCTTACATATCCTTAAGTAAAAATTAGACAACTCTTCATAGAAAACTCATATTCAACTTTCGTTTGTTTCATTAGAAAGTAGATTCAACATGCTTTCTAACGATATATAATAATCACAGCAATAATCTATCCATTAATACAAAATTTTATTTTAATTCATTATTGTAGATTACAACATCTCATCCAAAAATAGAATTCTTCCTTCAATCTTTAAAAAAATTCAAATCTCTACTTACAGCCTTCAAACTCCATTCAATAATTATCAATAAATCTTAAGAACATAAAACAAACAAAGCTCAATAATTTACCCAAATAGATCATGAAGATTAATGAAAGATTTCATAATTTTTTTTGGTTTTGCTCTCAAAACTTCAACTCCAAATAATAGCAATCAACTTGATATTTCTTTTTAAATAAAAATAGGGTATATACTCACCTTTAGGGGATTAACTTGATTATAGCCTCTGATTTTGAATTTTAACTTGATTTTTTATATTCTCTAACCCCAAGAAAGATGATGAAGAAAAACTCTTATTTTCTTTCTGTTTCTCGATAACTAGATTTTCTTTCATTTAATACTTCAGCCCTTAGTCTTTTAATAAACTGATGGGTTTTGGTAATAATCTAGCCCAATTATCATTTAGGCTGGGGTATTACATGCTTCCGCTGGTCTGATTGGATAAGGCTAGTTGGCCCAACAAGTGGTATCAAAGCATGGTTCGAGCCATGAAAAGAGACAAGCTCAAAGGAGCTCGACTCAAGAGAATAGTTCAAGTTCATGTTTTGAGAATTGAAAATCAATTTGCATGAAGCGTAAAGACACTCAAGATAAGATAATTGTGAGACTTCCATTGCAGATAGAGTTAAGTATGTCTAGCATGAAAATAAATGATTTGATGAAATTTGAGTCAAAATAGAGATTATCAAAAATAGTGACTCAAATCCCATAATAGATTTATTTGAAATTGGTTAGATATTGCTTGATGACAATAAGACTTGCAGAAAAAGAATTCTAAGAGAAAAATAATTTTTAATAAGCAAGTTTGACTTGCAAAAAAAAAATTCTAAGAGGAAAGAAATTCTTAATAGGCAAGTTTATATGCTCATAAATATGTAAAGTCTCTATAATGTTATGTATAAAAAAAGTTGTAAGAGAATTTGAAAGTTTTATAGATAAACACTTCATATGAGTATTGGAGATTTATATATTATGAATGTGTATGTTTATATGTTTGTAAGTGGATTAAAAGAGACTAAAATAATCCACATAAGTATAATGAATTGGTACATATGAATATGTGTTTATTTATATTGAAAAGGTACATATGGATATGTATTTGTTTAAATTAAAAATATTTCATAAGATTAAAAAAAATTGAAAGAATCTATAAATATTAATTGTGAGTGCTTGATATTAATGTATGTGTGTAATTTTTTATAACTAATAAATCTTTTTTTTCATCCAAAAATATAGATTAATTTAATCGAATCACGTTAAATTATTATCTCTTATGTACCTGACTAATTAATTATTTAATTTTATTTTTATTGACTTTAATATTTCATATTTATTGAATCGAGGCTTTTAGCCCAACGATTAAGATGTAAAAGACTTGCCTCTTCCGGACGAAATAGGTGTATGGGATTAAAAATATTTTAAACATGGAAAAGAACTTCTGTCACATCTTGAGATGTCCATCATTTTTTTGGAATCTGTAGACAAACCAAAAAACAGTTTAAAGACGAACCAAAGAAAAATCATTAAACAAAATCAAGGTAACGACCAGGACATTATTGCTCACTGTTGTTCTTCACAAGGTTGTACAGAAAGCAGTTCGAAGAGCAACTTGAATAATACATCATCCTAAGAAAAAATAATGAATTAAAGCATGGCACCCCTAACAAAGCATAGATAATAAAAAGAAAAAAGAAAACAACTGGTGCTAGAGTAACCAAAAAAACTCTTTATGCACAAATAATGCAGTATAAATTTTCAGGAAAAAACCGCCCACACGGAAACAGAAACAACACACAAGCATACAACCTTATAGCGTTTAGCAGAGTTTCCAGGGGTGCAGGGAACTGACCTCATGCAGATATAGTTTTAGAAAGGAAAATGAAAAGTTAATGCAATTCTCCATTTATGTTTCATGGTCCACAGGCATAACAACTGGAAGATGTTCTGAAAGCCATGCATAAAGCTCTAATAAACCTTTCTGTCTACCATAACAACTCAGATCTGAAATTACGTCAAAAGCCAAGCATGACTTCACAGTTGCACTAGTACAAATCTTGCCAGTGTCTTTTCTTGGATTTATCAAACTGAGGGAACACCTCAAGAAAATAAAAATGGTTTGTCTTTGTAAATAACGAGAGTCCATGCCGTGTACCTCTCCGTCAGAAATACTTAACATAAAAGGAGAATCTTATAGACATTCATCTTGATCCTCGATTTCAGTTAAAGGTCAGCATAAAAGCTCTTGAAAGTAATCATGGAGAAGCTGCAACCAGGAAACAAGAACCAAACAATCTAGTGGTATTTGGAAACTAAGCCTGATCATCAGAACCTGCAAATTTTGTTTAAGTTCATATAATTAGAGCGTTTACATGTAAAAGTAAAACAGATCCGAGTAGTAGCTAAACATCTGCATTTCCATACCAATAACTTGTGTCTGAAGTACCGCGAGATGGTCATGTAGACACACTCGCCTTTCTTGCCAAGGAACCGATATAGAAGTTTAGGCACAATGTCGATAATTTTCAAAGGAATCATATGCTTGTCCAGGGAATCATCTAACCCTTCCACAAAACTATATTGCTCAACCAATGAACATAGAAACTGAATAAAATTCCCTAAGAACACAGTCCTCAGGTCACCCTCTTCACCACCATTTCCACCCAAGATCCCATTCATTGAATCCCAAGGCACATTCAAAATACAAAAACTTATCGAATTCAAAAACACTTGAACAAGCTCATCATCACACTCTTCCTTCAAAAATTCAAGTATATTTCTTGATATTTAAATAGTTCCAGCTACCGTAAACATGCTAGCATTTTTCAACTTAGGCTTAAATAAAACAACAAGACTCGTTAAATCAGAATGTGAACCTTCAACGCCAGTTATTGAAGGTTGAAAAGAACATAAAGATATGTTTGAGATTGAGTGTTTGAAGCAAATACAGAGCGCAGGGACAATGCATTCCCAGCTTTTAGCCTGCAATAACAACAAAATTCATTAAAAAAGAAAAGCAAGCTTTAAAATTTTAAATAAAATCAGTAAATTTGACTAACATACAGATGAGGCTACGAATTCAGAGAGGGTTACAAGAGAGTTGCCAGCTAAAGGTTGAATGTATGGGCTCGGGAGAGTTAATAAAGCTATCTGAAACAGAAATTCAAGAATTTATGTGATTTTTCTCTTCTTTGCTGAAAGAGATACAGGCGTTGTAAAGGGAACAGAAAACAAAGCTAGTGAAGATTAAAAAAAAGAAAATAAAGGGTAGATACAAAAAATTGGAGAAGAATGGAACGTACGGTGAAAGGGTGGAGAGAATCGTTGATCAGACGGCCAAGACGGAAGAATTCAGAACCATTGAACCAAGATGGAGACGTTTTTGTTTTCTTTTGTGATGATTTTTGACCGGAAGTTTCAGTCAACGGAATTTATAATCTTTTTTTTTACTGAAAAAAAAAAAAAAACAAAAACATCAACCCTTCGTTTAAACTTAAAAAAGTATTTTCGAAGCTTGCCTTTTAAAAAAAAAAAAAAATTTAAATAAAAGAAAAGCAAGCTTTAAAATTTTAAATAAAATCAGTAAATTTGATTAACATACAGATGAGGCTACGGGTTTTTGATTAACATCAATGGTCTTCTCCTGACCACCTCCCCATCATCCCTCCATTCCTTGCCCATTTCTCCACAACAACCTTGTATCCATGTACTCGAGATGCAACTTCCCGTTTGGACGCCAAGAGAGTATTCGACAAAACGCCTAGCAGAAAATATAAAATATAATCCCATATATATACAGCAAAAGCATACGTAGAAGCATCCAAAATGAAATTCCAAGTGAGTGACAATCAGAAGTTTACCCAAAATGCTTTTATATCTTCAAACAAGAATTATGATTTTCCTATCTTATTTCTCTCAGAAAAAAAAAAAATCCTACACAATGTGTTCAAAAATGTTACAGTAATAAGGATCTTGTAGCATCTTTATCAATGCTGAAAAGAAAAAATGGGATTAGGATGTTTAGCTAACATCTTGTTTCCCTGGATATCACCAACAAAACTACAAGGATTCTTCTACTCCAGAGCTAAACACACTGCAATTAAAGCTATATAATGGGCAGAGACACTGTCAAAAGGATATGTGCGGCTCCCTTTATGCACAAAGGATCATTTAAGTAGACAGAGAGTTGCTTCAGCATTTCCACATTCAAGCTACCATGACTAACGCCGGGCAGTTCTAGACTTCGGCCTCGATGATTTCTGCAAGAAAACATATAAATGAAGTTAATTAAGAGAAATATAACTGATCCAGGTAGCACTGACTGATGCACACGGCAATTAGTGTTGTTTGATGATCAATTATGAAAAGGAAAAAAAAAATTGAAAGCCAAGTAAGTAAACTTTTTACTCACAGATGCAGTGCCAAAGCTAGCACCAGACCCCGTTGCAGCACCTGGGAAAAAGTAAACAAAAATTAATTAGACCAAAATTTATCAACCCATGTCAAAACACTATGGTTACTCAAAAAAATGAAACCCCAAGCATGATTTCGAAATGACATTACTTGAAATTAAAAAGTGATTTAAAAAATATATAGGATAAAAGGTACCAGCAGCAAATGGTGTTGAAAAAAGCGAACCTCCAGCAGATGCAGTGGAGCCAAAGGCTGGGGTGGTACTAGAAAACAGAGAGGGAGTGGATGCAGATCCTAAGAGAGATCCTGATGAGGAACTGAAAAGGGATGTTTGGATGGAAGCACCTGTGGTTGGAGTTGCAAACAGGGAAGATGACATGGAAGAAGCAGGAGTAGAAGATGGTGTACTAAAAAGAGATAATCCACCTCCGGAAGATGCTGATGATGTTGCCGCAGATGTCTGTGGGGCAGAGGCAGCTGCAGGACTTGCTGAGCTGGCAAACAACCCAGCAACCTGAGTTGATGGTTGTGAATTTGCAGGTAAATGCAAGGTTGGATGTACCCTCTTAGCAGCAGCTTCTTGCTTAGCAGTTTCTCTCCGATCAGCCTCAAGAAAAGGATCATTAACATCTCCTCTCACGCGCTGATCAGCAAGATATGCTGTTTTCATTGATTCAATATATTGATGAATGCTCTCCACCTAGGAAACACATGGTTATACGATCAGCCAAAATCTTTTTTCTTTAGGGTTGGAGGGGTGTTAAGACTTTGAGTGAAATCAGTAAAACAAAAGATCAAATCTTGAATGCATGTTAACTACATTAAACACAAGATATATCAAGAGCATTTGAAAGCATAGACAATATAAGAAGACATAAAAAATCCTACTCTCAACTCAATTTCGATTAATAAATTTTCAAACACCTAGATATATTTCTGCTCCTTGCACATAAAATGATGCAAGTATACATATCTTCTTTACCTTGGCAGCCACATGAACAAAAAAGTCATGCACATTGGACATGACTTTTGGAAGAGATTGCAACAATGAGGATGCATGATTAACAGAGTTTCTGTCACACTTCAAAAGGAGCAGTTGCTCTAACTCTTCAATCCACTGATGGCACTCACCCAAATACTTCTCAAATCTAGCAACTGTATGCTGTAGAAATGGAGATGGCTTCTTTGGAAGCCCATGGTAAAAGTCAAAAACTTGTATCATAGATGCAGCAGTTGGTTGAGCACTAGAACCTGGTATTGTTGTTGCCCCTGGAGCCTGGGATGGTGCAGTGGCATTTGCAGCACCCCCTGTGTTTGAATGAAGGAACCGGGGACAAAGCATCATGAAAGAATGAACAGCAACCTCTGTGTTCCTTAACAGATCTTTCACAGTAGCCATCAGCTCCTGCAGCAAAGCTTTCTGCCGCTCCATGGAAGTAGTGATTCCTCCAAGTTCCTGTTGAAACAACCATACCGTTTCATTCACCAATGCTAAGCACCACGATAGGCAACAGACAAGGAAAAGGTTTCAAAACTGATGGTTTGTGATATATCTCATTCAGATGGAAGATGCTTCATTGTTGAAAACAATCTATTGACTGATTAAATATTATAAGTTTAGAGATGCTCTGTTCTTGAAAGCTCATAAAAATGGCATGGAGATAATAACATTAATCTAATTAAAATCCAAATTGTTCTCAGATCAATGGATTTGGAAATAACTCTCAAATCTTGAACACTCTGACTTAATGAGGATGGAAGAAACCATTCCAACAGTTTAGAACTTGTTCCTGGTATCTCTCAATAGTACACAATTCGATGACCCACTCACAGTTTCAGAAAATGGACCAGATACAACCAGCAACCCATTACGTGGAATAGCTTATTTGCATCACTTATGAACGTAAAACATAAGCCACTTCCTCCACAATAGAGACAAAACAAAGCATTTAAAGTAAAAATATATTAGAATCTGAGCTAGTGCAAATACTCACAATAGGAGCAAGTTGTTGCTCAATACTTTCATTCCGTAAATTCTATTAAGGATTCCATATAATATTTTCATTTCAAATGCCAAGAATGCTATTTCAGGTTACTCTCCAAATCCAAGTATAAGTGAAGTGAACAAGCACAAGAAAAATGAACTGCATAATTATTGGTCTTCTCTATCAATGCAAGGTCTACAGAAGCAGCAAAACTCAAATACAAAGAAAACCAGAAAAGAAGGAAAGCAAAAGTTAGTCAACATGTACAGGAAAAAAGATGAAATGGTTAAACCTGAACAATGCAACTGGCATCAAGCTCAAACCCTTCATTGGAAACCGAAGAATCATAAAGGCGACTACACTGGTCTAACCTTTGGCTCTCATCCCGGTACTCAAATATCCTTTCCCTACATCCCAAAAAGACAATTACGTTACTTACAGTGCCATATAATACCAATATCCAAGCTCAACCAATAAAACAAATCAGAAAGTCAAACTTATGTCCCATACTTTTCCAGGTAAACACTATGACAATGTCAAATAAATATTCAAAATGTAAGAAAAATTAAGTTCAATGCACCATTTCTCAACAGATAGCCAAAAAGCAACTTTTTATCCAGCTTAAACTTGAACTTAATTTTTACTTTCTCAGCAACCAATAAACAATATCACAACCCCCCCCCCCCCAAAAAAAAAAAAAAACAAAAACAAAAACAAAAAAAAGGCCTTTAAAAAGAATTGAAAACATACTCAATTTGAAGCAGAAATTTTTGAGAATCAGCGTGCAGATCAGCCCATTTGGTGCCATACTTAGCAGGAGTCTTGTCATTAGTAAAAAGAAAAAGCTGCTGTTGCTGTTGATGTTGCTTTTGTTGTTGTTGTTGCTGTTGTAGTGGAAACTGTAACTGTGGTTGCTGCTGTTGCTGTTGCTGTTGCTGTTCCTGTTGTTGGGGTTGAAAAAATCGGCTGCTTTGCTGGAAAGGTTGTTGCTGTTGTTGGGGTTGAAACAATGGCTGAGGTTGTTGGGGTTGTGGAGTTGCGAAAGGGAATGGCATTGTTGTCTTCCTTGAAAAGAAAACCCTTTCGTTTAAAACCCTAGAGAGGGAAAATAATTGGGAAAAGTGAAAGAAGTAAAGATAGTAAGAGTCCAAAAAGGCCCGCCAATGTTAGTTTCTATGAAAGCAAAGCATGGACAAAATTGCGAATTTGAGAACTTAGGAGTCTTTATTTGCAAATTGGCATTACTCCTAGTGTATCTGTTGCGTTAGACTGAAATTAAAGCTCAGACGCCCATCAGCCGTAGGAGGACCACCAAAGCGAATGAATTCGAGCTTTTTTTATTTTTCTTTTATTTGAATTTATGCTAAGAGAAATTATCTACTATATTTGTAACGAGTTTTTTTTTTTAATTTGACAAGTAAAATTAAAATAATAATACATGTTTCTTAGTATTTATTAAAAAATTAAAAAATTAATCTAAAAAATAAAATATATATTATTATGTTAACCCCATTTATAAAATTAAAAAATTTTATAAATAATTTTTCTCTTTGCTAATCTCATTTTAATAGAACCATAATAATAATATTCATCAATAAAGGCTATAAAATTTTTGCAGTTGTTATGCATCGTCAATTTTATTATTTTTTACTTTTTATATATTTTACAACTTTTTATGGAACCCATTATTAAAAAAATACTTTTTGTTGGATTCACTATTTTTTTCTTAATTTTTTGTTTGTGTGTCACATGTTCGTTTTATTTTTTTATTTTTTAATGTTTAATAAATATATTTTTATTTTTTTAAGATTCATTTGATGCCAAATTTTTTTAATTTAAAATATTTAATAAATATTTTTATATATTTAACCCACTCAATATCAAGTATATATCAAATGTTCATTTTTTTTTAATTTTAACATTTTCTTTTTTATTTTTATATATTTAATAAATAATTTTTTAGATTTTATTTTTTTATTGGACTCACTTGATATCAATAATATATTACATGTTAAGTTATTGTTTTTCTTTTTAATTTCTTTTTTCTATTTACATTTTGTTCCATTTTTATTCAATAAATATTTTTAATATTTTAAAATTTTTTTATGTTGGGATCATTTGATATTATTATTAAAAATATTTTTTTCTTTACTTTTTTTCTCTATTTGCTTTACAATTTTTTAAGAAATAAAAATTAACAGAGGTATCAACATCACATTTGGATTTATTTTTTGTTTTTTTTATTTTTTATTTTTAAAAATTCATGATATAAATTTTTTAAAAATTTATTATTTGTATTATGTGCCAACCCAACTTTTTTCTTTTTTATTTTTTTCTTTTTGTCTTTTCTTTTTTTTCCTTATTTTAAGTTTTTTTCCTTTCTTTTTTCTTTTTATATTTAATAACAACAAATTAAACTTTATAACTCATAATTTTGGGATCAATTGTATGAAAAGCAAAAAAAAAAAAAAAATCATGTTATGTCGTAATTTTGAATCTTTTTGCACTATTTATTTTTTATTAAAAACAATATTTTTATCTACTTTCTTAACCCTCATATTCTCTTTTATTACTTGCATCTACGTCTTCCGTGATCTACTTTTAGAAGCTTTAGTCTCTTCTAAATTTAGAAACTCATTTCTCCTAACTAGTACATAAATAGACTTACATTTCACATGTCTAAACCATCTCAAACGATCTTTTCTCATCATTTTCTCAATTCGAACTCCCCTTAATTTTTCTCAAATCTTTTCATTTTTAATTTTATCTTTTTTAGTCTTACCATATATCCATCTAAGTATTCTTATATCTATTACGCTCATTTTCTTTTCATATTATTTTTTAACAATCAACACTAGTTTCATACAACAATCCATACTTCACAATTGTTTTATACAATTTCACCTTTAACTTAAAAGATATGTTGCAATCATACAAAACACCCAACGCATTTCGCCACCTCACCTATATTATTTGAATCATATATTTACATCCTTTTTATCTCAGTATCATTCTAAATAATTGATCCCAAATATAAAAAATAACTACTATTTGATGCTACTCACCATCCATCTTAATCACATTAGCATTCACTTCTCTATGACTACCAACTTATATTCCATATATTTAATTTTAGATCTACTCAATTTAGGCCATATTTGGTACATAAAATGACGGATAAGATAAGATGATAATCATCATATTCCATGTTTGATTTGTATCTAAAGAAAAGGATAGGATTGCAAGGAGGATTAATCATTCTCCTGGTATAGGATAATTAAATTATCCCAAAATAGAGAGCATTATTTTTAATCTAAGGGATTGAATTTACATGTCATATTATATCCTTAAAAATTATATCAATAACTTAAATTGTACAAACTTTAAATAAGGATAATTTTGATCAATAAATAAAATTATCTCATCATAATCTTTATACATATCAAATACAAGATAATATGACATTATTTAATCTTACCTTATCTTATCATAATTTTTTATATCAAACACACCCTTAAAACCTCAAGACTTCAACATATGCCTCCATAATTATAATTTTGCATTAAAATTACCACTAGTTTCAACAACTAAGACTATATTATCAGTAAATAACATACACCATAGCCGTTATCTTGGATATGTCCAATAAGTTCATCTATAACTAGTGCTGAGCCTTGATGCAATTTTAAGATAATGGAAAAACTATCAATCCAGCCTCAACCATTCTCACATTCGTTATAACTCCTTGACATATATCTTTAATTATGTTAATAAACTTTAAAAAAACTCTTTTCTTCATTAAGGCTTATCAAAACACCTCTCAGGAAACTCTATCATATATTTTCTCTAAGTTGATAAATATCATATGTAAATCTTCCTTTTCTCGTCCAAAAATCCTTCAACAAAAGTCTCAAAAGATAAATTACCTCTATTATGAAGCATTCTAGCATAAACCTAATTTGGTTTTCGAAAATAATGACCTCGTATCGTAACCTACATTTAATTACCTTTTCTCAAAGTTTTATAGTATGACTCATAAGTTTTACTCATCGATAGTTCGAACAATTTTGTATATCATCTTTATTCTTATAAAAAGGCATTACAATACTCTTCCTCAATTCTTTTGACATCTTTTAAATACGTCAAATTTTGTTAAAAAAATCCGTTAATTATCCTATCTCTATTTCACCCAAGTATTTCCAAACCTCAATCAGAATTTCATCCGTTCCTATAGCTTTCTTAGCTTTAATCATTTTCAAAGCCCTTTTAATCTTATATATTTTAATATTATGTTTAAACATATGATTTGTATCCTTAAAATGTATGTTAAGCCCACCTACATCATGCTCAAAACTGCCATTAAAGAGAATATCAAAATGATCTTTCCATCATTTCTTAATCTCTTTATCCTTTACTAAAACCAGTTTGTTACCACCTTTAATACATCATATGCCATTAAGATCCTTACTTTTCTTGTCACTCATCTTATCAAATTAGAATAACTATTTTTCTCTTTCTCTTGTCTTTAGTTTTTTATATAATTCCTCATGGATCCTAATTTTTGAATCTCGAATAACCTTTTTGGTTTCATTTTTTGCTATCTTATACTTCAAATAACTTACCTTGTCCATGTTGCTCTTTAAATTACTATAACACTCCCACTTAACTTTAATTGTAATTTTCACATCTTCATTCCACTACCAAGATTCTTTTCCTGATGGTGTGCAACCCCTAGATTCGTCAAGTATCTCTTTAGCAACTTTTTGAATTCTACTAAAATTTTTTTTCATATTACTTTTACATCTTCATTAGGTTTCCAATCAACCTCTTTTACTAGCCTATTCCTAAAAACTAACATTTTGTCCATCTTCAAGTTCCACACTTAATACGTAGTTAATCACTATAATGGATCCCCTTTAACCTTCAAAGGTGAAAGATATATAGAATTAACAGTTTATGTTGTTTTATCACACTCTCACTCAATATAATCTTGCAATCTTTATAGCTACTTTTATCCTCTTTCCTCGTAAAAAAATTATTTTAACTAGCACTTAACCTACTTCTAAATGTCATCAAATGTGATTCTCTTTTTTAAAACATGTGTTTAATATAAATTAGGTCAAATACAGTAACAAATTATAGAATATTATCCTCGATATCATTTCTTTCTCCAAAGCCATATCCTGTATACATTATCTCAAAGTCACTATAATCTTTGCACACGTAACCATTCATGTATTTTCCAATAAATAACTTTTTCCCGTTTGGTATGGCTTGTACTACCTCACCTAAATCTTTCCAAAATTTTTGCTTACTTGCTTGATTCAAACATTTTGCAAGACATAAGGACTAACGACATTAATAGTTTTCTCTCTTCATATAAGTTTAACATTTAAAATTTTGTCTTTATTTTTTTTAACCTCAACCATATCATCTTTCAAATTTTTATCTACAATTATCCCCATTCAATTTTTACTCATATCTTTACATGTGTGTAAAAGCTTAGAACCTTAAGTTTCTATCTCTTTAGTCTTTTCTCCGACCCATTTAATTTCTTAGAGACACATAATATTATTTTCTCTTGTAGCCATGATCTCTTTATCTCTACTAGCTTACTAGTTAACAATCCTATATTCAATGTAGCTAAATGTAATTTACCCCAATGGACTAGTTTCTTTACTTATGTTCATCTATTAAAACACGAGAACCTTACCTATATGACACCCTACCTTGGCAAAAATGTGGCTTGTCGCTTTAGGAAAACAACCTAGCAACTTTTGCCTATTTAACACTACACTTGGGCTTCGATGTAACAAGTTACTAGAAAATGACGATCCAATGAAATTTTTTATTTTGGTCTTTTATCATAGTTTGACTATGTTTTATGCTGACCATCATCCTATCATGACCGTTATCACTTTTTTTTATATTTAATAAATATTTTTTATTTTTTTATATTTATTTGTAAGATCAATTTTATATTATTGATTTAAAATTTTATCCTTTTTCATACTTTTTAATTATATAATTTTGTAAAAAAAATATTAACAAAAGTGCTGAGAAGGCATCTGGTTTTAATTTTTTCTTTTTTGGGCCTTTTTTTCCTTTTACGGTATAAGAAAATTTTCAAAAATTAATCAATAACAACAAATTAACCCTACACA